ATGCTCCAATGGGGAGCATTTGAGGAGGGAAGAGAGGAAGGAAGGGAAAAGGAAAAAATGAGAACTGAAGGAAAAACTGGAGACAAAGCTTCTGTAAATAAGGAAGGGAAAGAGGGTTAGAGGAGGGCAGAAGGAGCAAGATATGTCATGTACAGGAACAAATTCCTGATGATGAATGTAATCATTGTGTATATTTAAAATGTACCAATAAGCCTACTTTTGTTTAAGAGAAAGTGAGACAGAAGGATAGGGGGTGGGCACCTGCTCTCGCCCTCTCCCCTGAAAGTTGAGCTTGTTTTTCTTGCTTTTTCTGTGGAGAAAAGGAATTCTGCCTCCCAGAATTCAGGTTAAAATTGGCTCTCAAGATTTCGCCCACACATATTGGTTTCGGGATAGTGCGCTGGCCAGCTTCTTTCCTTAACTGTCAAGCACGGAAAATGCTACTTGATGCTTGTGAAATTTTATTACGATAAGGGAATAATTTCTCACCAAAAAGAATTTTTTTTTTAAATAAATGAAAATTCAGTGGCTTCAAAACAAACAGAAATCCAGACAGTTTAGGGGAGGAGGTGGTTCTGCTTGTTTCTGGCAGAATGTAGCCCAGAGCATGGCACGTAGGCTCAGGCTCCGGGAGGACTTTGCAGGATTTCACCTGCACTGACCTGCATTCCACACTGGGCGCTGGGCGGAAGACCGGGGCCACTCGATGGAGTGAAGCCAGCTCTAGCAGGGCAGAGGCTGTGTCTTAGGAAGGCAGGAATGATTACCCAACTGGTGTGAGGGATGAGGCAGTTAGGAGCTGATCCAGGGACAGGGGCAGATACCTGTGGCTTCTCAGGGTGGGGCAGGCATGGCAGGATGCAGAGGGGCACCTGGGGCTGCTTTATTCTGACCAGGAGTGTTCGGGAATACGACTTTTTCCATGAAGGCTGTTCTGAGACCCCAAGAACTCTTACTCTCCTGGGTGCCTGTCTTAGACCTGTAGAGTGTCTAATGATTCATTTTGCACACACACTTGTGGTCTATTTTCCTCTCACACCTGCCTTGGTAATTTACACAGTGGCCTTTGGGTGTGGAGGTTAAGAGTGAGAGGCAATTAAGACTCAGGACATATGAGGACTTGTACTGTAACGTCACGTAACTCAGTAGTGTTCCAAATTTTCTGATCAAGGAGATTATAGGGCCAAAGAGGAAAGTGATCCATGATGTAGAGTGTGCCTAAGGAGAGTCACATGGACAGAAAACATTCTCTCAAGCTTTCACAGGGAGCAAATTGGTCAAGCAATGGCCGTGACTCATCCACATGGCTGACACTGACAAAGGTACTGGAATCTGAGGTACAGGATCTCAGGATAAATCCTGAGGGGATTTGACTGACCTTATCAGACCCAAAAGCTACAACTCTTGTTTCATAGGTCTTGCTTTATCTTGGTCTTAACCATCCAGGAGAAAAGTATAAAAACAAAGTATAAGAAGTAAAGCCATGCTGTTATGTTGAGCTGTAGGGGACTCAGGTCAACAATTTCTGACATTGCCAGTCAAGCAGAAGACCCAATACTATTATGGACTACTGGACTCTTTTAGAATATTTTGCTGAGTTAACACACCTATAGTATTCAAATGATGGAACTAAACAAAAAAGGGGATACAGATGAATGTCCATTTTGTATCTGTGTATTCAAAATGGTTAGGATAGATATATAGTTACATTCTCAGTGAATAGAGGAATTTGTTCTAATAGTGTTTGTAAATAGGATATCATGTCTGTATCTCGTACAGCAAATAACCATTAGGAAGAGTATATGCAATGTGTTAATTATTGGAACTGTCCTACCAATTTGGTTTGAAACTGTCTCATTGCTATTTGTCTCTCAGTAAAATGATGGAAAAAAAAAAATAAAAGAGTGAGAGGCACTGCAGAGCCCGACCTTGCTTCTGGACAGAGGAGTTGCTGGTGTGAGCAAAGGAACAGAGTCTCGGCCCATGCTGTGTTGGGAGTGCCCCCCCCCCCCCCCCGTTCCCCTCTGCTCTGTGTCTGCAGCCATACAGCTGAGCGAGTCTCCAGTTCCAGAGGTGGCAGCCAGTGCCTCAGCGGGAAAGGAAAGCTGCTGGGGCTGTGGCAGCTTTGCCTGATGCTCACCTGGCCCCGCCCTCCCGCTGCCCTTTCTCCTCCTAGTCTCAGGTGTCTGCTGCCTGTCTCTGAAGGTTGATTAGGATGCTGAGAAGGTAGGGACTCTGGAAATGAAGGAACAAAAGCTGAACCTACCTGAATCCACAGTAGCAGTATCCAGATTTTGCTAACCATTGGCTCAATCTGGGTTCTTCCCAAAGCACAGGGCCTCAGCACGGACTTGTATCTTGGTAGCTTATTCTGAGAACGAATGTGTCTTTTAATAATTAAAGAGATGATGAGCCATGTTCACAAATCACATGGTATGTTGCTAAAGAGATTCTTTTTTTCTTTTTCACAATGCTTAAAAAGGAGAACAAGAACAAATCCACGGGGAATAGACTAGGTACATAGCCATATAAAAAGAGTTCCAATTTCATTTAGAATCCAATTAAGAAAGTCAGGTTACCCAACTAGGATAAAGGCAGGCGTCAGTGGACAGAGTCTAATCAGCGCATGTAGGAAACTTCCTGCAGAGGCAGGCCCACAGGGTGAAGATCCGGGGAGACCTGCGAGGGACCTGCCCGCTAGAGGGCGCTGGGGCTGCCCAGCTCAGCCCCAAGGCTGAGGGTAGCCCTGCAGCTAGCTGCCTATTGTCTCAAACTGTCAAAATCTGGGTTTTTATGTGGTTTAGGCCAATAATTTACATACGTGGGCTGAAAATGTGTTATGGAACATAGATTATACTCCATGTTCTTTTTTTTCTTTCTTTCTTTCTTTTTTTTCTTTTTTTTTTTTTTTTTGGCGGAACCAGGGGATTGAACTCAGGCTCTTGTGCTAGCCAGGCATGTGCTCCATATTCTTATCACAGCAAAACATGTCACTTGTAATCAATCATGTAAGTGTTGGGAATCATTTCAAAATTACAGAGAAAATCCTAAGGAACATGAGTGAAGGCCTGGGAAGCATCAAAAAGGGAAGGGTGGGGAGATGAGAAAGGTGATCCAAGAGCAATTTAAAAAGATTTTTATTTTTTGGTACTGGGAATCAAACTCAGGATCTTGCTCTTGTCAGGTGGGTGCTTGTTAATTTATTTATACGTTTATCACAGTACCAAGGGGGGTAAACCCAGGGTCTTTGAACTGAATTACATTCATATGTA